TCCGGACCCTCAGTGCAGCACAGTGCATTCATGATAGTAGGAGCGTGGCAGAGCGTGCCCAACGTGGAAGGAAGAGGGCCTGCCTCCTGACGCCTCCCTCACTTTCCTTCTGAGAAACTGCGTGAGACTCAGCGGGAACATGAGATGCAGGAGGCCACCACAACTTCAGCTGTGGCTCCTTTGGCCCAAGACTTCCCGGTAGAACGTTCACCATTGTCTTCACAATAAAGACATGATTCACGCTTTGTGATGTCACTAAATAGAAAGTGTTTGTCCCAGTGAAATCAATCCTGCTGTCCAATCTTGTTTGATGTGATTAGATTTGGGGGGTTGATTTTTTTCTCTCTCTCATTCTGAGCCTCTATCATATTTCTGCGCCTTGGCTGGATTCATTTAAATGAGCCCACAATCAAGCCTGGCAGAATTCCTGAATTATTCAGGTACCTCCCTTGTTTCCTTCTAGTGCAGTTAAGTGCAGATCAGATTCACTGGTTCTGCTGGAAACATTGGCTATTTACCAACGAATTGCTTTTCTCGAGTTGTACACACAGAAAGAAGTATAATAGCTGCTTATTTCTTCCTTAAGCTGCCTCTGGGGTGGAAAACTTCAAGAATACATAATCATTCATTAGTCCTGAGTAGCGTAGCCACCTGCCAGCTCTTCTGTGGACCAGGTCTGCTCGACACCAGTGTGCACACGATTGGCTGCAAGGGGCCTGGGAAGGATGCCAGACTCTGTGATTCAGGTCTTAATCTTTTCACACAGCCACTCAAAAATTATTCATCGTCATTGTGTTACAAGAAGAGCCATAGGGATGGGAAGGCAGCGCAGTGGTAGAGCGCTTGCCTCGCATGCATGAAGCCTTGGGTTCAATTCCCCAGTACCACATACACAGCAAAAGTCAGAAGTAGTGCTGTGGCTCAAGTGGTCGAGTGCTAACCTTGAGCAAAAGAAGCTCAGGGACAGTCCCCAGGCCCTGAGTTCAAGCCCCAGGACTGACCAAAATTTGAAGAGCCTTAGACCAGGTACCCATGACTCACACTTACAATCCTAGCTCCTCAGGTGGCTGAGATCTAAGGACTCTTATCTCTAACCAGCAAAAACAAAAGCCAGAAGGGGAGCTGTGGCTCAAGTAGTAGAGCACTAGTCTTGATCCAAAACAATCTCAGCACTCAGGCCAACTTCAGGCCCCAGGACTGGCACAAAAGAAAAATGAAGAAGAGCCTCGGGCCTTGACTGAGCCATCCTTGGAGCAGAATGCACTCTCCCGCCGCCATTTCCACGCCCAGGCCGAGCACAGTGAGAGCTACACGAATGAAATAACCCTCTGGCCGAGACTGGCTGTTTGAAAGGCTAGGAAACTATCGTGACATTCTTAATTTTTTTTAAGAAATTTTCTGGGCACATTTTGATTTCTTAGAGTTCACATACCAAAATGAACTGCACCTCAGTGGGGGAGCACTTACCTCGCCGGTGCCAGGTCCCGGGTTCAATCCTCAGCATAAAAAGGAATTTACTTTCCCACTGAATATTTCCAGAGCTTTTTTTTCCTACTGAATAAGCACTCATTGTTACAGTCTCACCTTAGCTATTTGACCTCTGTGTTCTTTTCTGCCATAGTCAGACTTTGCTGACTTTTGCCTGCCTTCAAGTTGCCTTAAGGTGTCAGCCACAGCCAGGTGTGGTGGCATATCCCCCGCTCAGAAGGCAGAAGCTGGGAGATTTCTAGTTCAAGACCAGCCCAGACTACATAGTAAGGGAAAGGAAGGGAGGGAGGAAGGAAGGAAGGGGGGGTGGGAGGGGAGGGGAAGGAGGAGGAGGAGGACATACAACTCTAAATCTCCTTGTAACACAAAACCATAGGACACAGGCTGTGTGACTAGCCAGCAGGTCTTCCATTTCCCAGCAGCATGGGAAGATGGGGGGGAGGTTGGGAGGGGAGTGTCTTGCTAAGCTAAAGGCATTTTCTAGCCCACAGAGTCACTGTCCTGTGCCCCTTTTCTCCTAGAACTTTTTGGCCATGTGTCCAAGTGGAGGGATAAGAGCTATACCAAGCAAACTACCCTCCCCGACATGCAGAGCATTTCGTTCTGATCATCTGCGCTCTACCTGCAGCAGTCCTACTTGCTGTTTCCTCCCCTGGTTTGGAATCTGCTGTTGGGATAATGAGGTTTCTCACCCCTGCTTCCCAGCCTCGTCTTCTACTTTTAGACTGACCAAGCATCTCCGCGCCCCCCCCCCCCCACACCCCTCCATTACCTGTGGGAGACTCACTCCCCTGAGTCCAGCCAAGCCAACTCTCTTGGCTCACTGATAAATCCTTCCATATGTAAACACAGATGAAAGTCACGTGCTTGCATTTCTATCTTTTGGGGCTTTTTTTACATTTTCCTCAAGACTTGAACTCAGGGCCTCATACTCTTACTCAGCATTTTCCACTCACTGCTGGTGCTCTTTTACTTAAGCCACACCTCCCATCCAGCATTTTGCTGGCTCATTGGTGATAAGAGTCTCATAGATTTATAGATTGGTCCACCCAAGCTTACTTCAAATCCAGACCTAAAATTCTTTTTTTTTTTTTTTTTTTTTTTGGGTCCGGTTGTGGGGCCTGAACTCTGGGCCTGGGCGCTGTCCCTCAGCTCTTCAGCTCAAGGCTAGCGCTCTACCACTTGAGCCCAGTACCACTTCTGGCTTTTTCCTTTTTGCTTATGTGGTGCTGAGGAATCGAACCCAGCGTCTCAGGCATGCAAGGCAAGCGCTCTACCACTGAGCCAACTTCCCAGCCCCAGACCTAAAATTCTAACCGCAGTGTCTTGCAGACATACCAGGAGGTGTGGCTCAAGTGGAAGAGCACCAGCGGCGAGTGGAAAATGCTGAGTAAGAGTATGAGGCATACCAGGGAAGTCACGGTGATCCTGGACCCTGCTCAGAAGTTGGGGTGCAAGCCGGGCGCTGGTGACTCACGCCTGTAATCCTAGCTACTCAGGAGGCTGAGATCTGAGGATCGAGGTTCAAAGCCAGCCCGGGCAGGAGAGACTATGAGACTCTTATCTCCAATAAACCACCAGAAAACCGGAAGTGGCGCTGTAGCTCAAGTGGTAGAGCGCTCGCCTTGAGCTGGAGAGCTGAGGGACAGCGCCCAGGCCCAGAGTTCAAGCCCCACAACCGACAAAAAAAAAAAAAAAAGAAGTTGGGGTGCTGTCTTCGGGGACCATGGGGACTAGTGCTTACAGAGCCCCTTAGAGACCTAGCTGAGTCTTGGGAATGGAGTCACGTCTTGAGTTCTCTTCTTTTGGAAAAGCTGCTCTTAAACTTCTGAGCCTTTTTTGTTTTTTTCTATTTTTCAGTCTACCCAGACACAAATGCCTTTTTGCTGCCGTTGGAGAGGAGAGTGAACCTGCAGTTCACTGGAGAAATGGGGAAAGAGGCCAAAGATGTCTTCTTCATTCAAGACAGGTTCTGTTTCCAGCCGAGTGTAGTATTCACCAAAAGGACCTCCACCACGTCTGAAGAAAACTAATTTATTTTCTGTTTCTGCAGTTTACATTATTTCTTGCTGCTTATACTTTACAATGTTTAGTTTCTGAGGACTAAGGGATTACAGAGTGTGAGCTTGAAGGTAACATTTTCCACTGCAGACTTGCCTATTTCATCTTCTTTTTATTTTGTTTAAGTGCTGGGGGTGGAACTTGGGGCCTTGGCACACGCACTGGGCAAGTGCTCTACCACTGAGCTACACTGTTTATTCTACCTTTGAAATGAAATAAATATACGTCTAGGAAAACAACTAACAAGTTTTCAGTGCCAGGTCCAGGTGCTCCCTGGAAGCTAGTGAGGTTTTTACCTGATACCAGTTTCATGGAAACACACATACACACACACACACACACACACACACACAGAGAAATATCTGGCCGGGCACCAGTGGCTCATGCCTCAAATCCTAGCTACTCAGAAGGCTGAGATCGGAGGATTGCGATTCAAAGCCAGCCTAGGCAGGAAAGTCCATGAGACTCTATCTCCAATTAACCAGCAAAAACCTGGGAGGGGAGCTGTGCTCAAATGTTAGAGCACCATCCTTGAGCAAGAAACTAAGGGACAGCACCCAGGCCTTGAGTTCAAGTCCCAGTGCCAGTACCAAAAAGAAAGAAAGAGAAAGATCTGGGTCACTGTGAGATCTGACTGCGTAGAGTTGGAGGTCTCTTTGAACAAAATACACTGTCTATTCAGAACTACTTTGAGTTTTACATCATGTACCTAAAACAAATGGGTTTGTGTAAGTGTTTTTCCACCAGAGAATGTATCTCAGTGGGCATGAAATTTTTTCGAAAGCCCCTAGGGGGTAACAAAAGTAGCTCTTAAAGGTCAGGTGTTTGGCAAATGTTTGTCCTTTTCTTCAACCCCTAATTCATAGTAGAGAATGTTCTGTGGCCTGCTCTCTACTCTTGGAAGTACTGACCCTTCTTTCCTTCCATGTTTTCCTGTAATACTATGAAATTATGTAATCATTAAAACAAAATCAAGGATTCAGGAACAAACAACAAGTGATTGTCCTCAAAAGCAATGTAAGTAAAATAGTCGCTATAAATAGCCTAAAAGTCCCAGGGCACATCCCACAGGGCCCTTCCTGTGCCCTCCCCCGCTGCCCCCTTCCCAGGGCTCCGCTCACCCCACAATGTGCCTTTATGCCCTGTCTGCTCTGCACAAAACACTTGAGTAACTGAAGAGCCCCCCATTCAAATGCTGCCTATCGCAAGGATAATTTCACGTGGCAATTGTGTCCCTCTTTTTCCGTGGACTTCACATGTCAGCACGCCACTCCAGATATACAGGTAACTTGTATAAATCTTTGTGTGTGTGCCTGCCAGTCCTGGGGCTTGAATTCAAGGCCAAGCACTGTCCCCGAGCTAGTTTTCGCTCTACCAGTTTGAGCCACAGCGCCATTTCCTACTTTGTGGTGGTTAATTAGAGGTAAGAGTATCATGAACTTTCTGGCTTAGGCTGGCTTTGAACCATGATCCTCAGATCTCGACCTCCTGAGTAGCTAATATTACACGCATGAGCCAACAGTGCCCCAAAAGGGTAGAAGCAAACCATGGTTCCACTCAGTGGCTCAAGCTTGTAGTCCTAGCTACTCAGGAGGGTGAGATCTGAAAGTCTAGATTCTTAGCCAGCCTCAGGGCAGAAACACCTGAGAGATCCTCAGCTCTAATACCACCAAAAAGCTAGAAGTAAGAAGTATGGCTCAGATGGTAGAGTGCCAACCTTGAGCAAAAAAAAAGGGGGGGGGGGCAAGCAAGAGTTCGAAGCCTTGAGTTCAATCCCCAGCACCAGCACTCCACACACAAAACAGCCCATCTGCTGCTGAGGCGCATTCCCAGTGACGGCAGGACCCAGAATGCCAGCGTGAGTGGAGGTTTTAAGCTGCTGCCTTCTACTATCTCTGTTTTTATTCCCTTCCTCTGTCACCTTAAGTTTCCTTTTCTATTTCTAAAGATGTTTAGGGTGCAAATACTTTTGAAACCAGTATTGGGAAGGCCTCAGACCTGGGACTGCGTCTCTTCATGGTTTCACCAGGCAGCGCCTCTGGCCCCTCTTTGTGCACATCTTCTGCATTCACCTTGGGATGACCTTCACTGCAGTGGCTCGGACTCTGGACTTTCCCCCATGGGGTCTCGCCAGGCCTCTGTTAGTCTGTGGTCTCTCATCCACTGCCCTGCCGGAGGGGACGCGCACACGCCGGAGCTGTCTGCTCCCCGCCACAGGGAAGGAAGGCCTGACCAGCAAGCCTCTCAGTTCCTGGTGACTTGATGGGTCCTGAGCAGGAGGAAGGATGGCCATGTTCTCTGTTCCCGGGTTTCTCAGCCATGGGCCCCGCTCGCCTCCTGTTGAAACTATTCAGGGAAAACAGCTGCGTCGCTACGTAGAACATAGAACATGTACAGACCTTTGTTCTCAGTTACCAAAAAAAAAAAAAAAATGCAGTAGAACAACTGTTTATTTAGCATTTACGTTGTATTAACTATTCTAAGTCATCTAGGGATGAGAAGATTATATGCAAATACTATGCCACTTTTTGTTGTTGTTGTTTATTGTTCCAGTACTGAGTCTTGAACTCAGTGTCGGGCACCATTCATTGACTTTTTCATTCAAGGCTAGCACTCTACCGTTGGAGCCACAGCTCCTCTTCCAGCTTTCTGGTAGTGAACTGGAGATAAGAGTTTCACAGACTTTCCTGCCCCCGCTGGTTTGGAACTGTAGTCCTCAGATCTCAGCCTCCTGAGTAGCTAGGGTTACAGGCCACCAATGCCCAGCTGACCACTTTTTAACATTGAACCCTTCATGAATGTATGTGTCACCCTGAATTTTGGAATATGAGCTACAGAAGCAGAGACTCCATCACTTTCTATATGGACTTGAACATCCTTGATTTTTAGTGTGGTAAGGACTGGGCATCTCCCCTGAGGCTGTGTTGTAAGAAGTAACCTTTGACCTGGTAGGTTTAAGTTAGAAATCTTCCCAAGAGGGCTGGAGGCATGGCTCAGCAGTAGAGTACCTGCCCAGCAAGTGGCAAGTCCTCTAAGTCTAGCCCTGAAGACGAGGTCTTCCTCTGTAGCCCAGGCTGGCTCTAACTCTTGATCCTTCCACCTCAACCCTCTTGTGTGCTGGGATTACAACCTTGCACCACCACACACAGCACTGGTGAATATTCTTTACTCCTCTGTTGCCGGGACTACTTTGTTTTAACTAGACTTTGCTAATTCCATTAAAGCAGTAAAGAAGAATGCTTCCCAACACATGTTTAAAGAGTCCTACCTCCCTCCAGTCTGATACTAACCAGAATTTAATTTTTATAATGTACATCTGCCCTCAAATGAGACAATATATTAAACTTACCTTGCTTAGCTCAGAAAAGACTCTAAATACACATATTTATGTATTGCCCTTGTGCATTTGTATGCACAAGGGAATCGAAACAGTGTGTGTATATGAATAACATTCATTATAAACCATTTAACCCAGATGCTCTGAAAAGGTTGAGCATCTAAAAGATTAGTTGATTAGTAAAAAGTGCTTTGCACTGTGCCTTCATTGCCAGTGTGGCACACACAGACCTCCAAAAGACTAACAGCCACTTCAGCAAGAAAAGATGGGCCAGCAGTCAGGTCTGTGGACTTGAGTGGTCTTTAAAAAAAAAACAACACAATTTTCACCAATCTCTAACTATAATACAGCATTTCCTTCTACCATGAAGTCAGCAGCTGACCACAGTTGTATAAGCAATTACCTATGTCTTTGTCACCAATAGAAATCACTAATATGTCAGCCAGGTACAGTAATGTACTCCTGTAATCTTAGCTATTGGAGAGGCATCAGTAAGAGGATCATGATCCAAAGCCTAAGGTCAGCCAGCCTCGGCAAAGAAACATGAGACCCTACGCAAAGCAATAACTAAAGCCCAAAAGGTCTGGAGGTGCACCTCGGGGTAGAGCACCCGCCTTGCTCACACGAGGCCCTGAGCTCAAACCTCCGTTCTGCCAAAGAAGGAAGAAAGAAATCGCTGGTGTTTTAATAGTGCATGCGATCCGGTACATATTCAGTCATTACCACCCTAAATCAGGGTAGTTACACCTACCACTTTCCTTGCCTTGTGGGTAACAGGTGTGGTGTGCACATGCATGTGTGTGTGTGTGTGTGTGTGTGTGTGTGTGTGTGTTGTATGTGTATTGCTGTTTGCAAATCCAGTTGCCTTACCAATATGGGTCATTACATTTCACAGTTATTGGCTCGCTCCAAATAGATATTATCCATTCCTAGAAAGGGTACACAGCTCTTCCAGTCTGTCTGTTCACACGGTCTTGGCACACAAAAAGAAGCAGAGGAAACTGGAGCCTAAACCTGGTTCGGGCAGCAATACCTTCTTTGGGCTGGACCTGCCTTGATATCTGCCTCAGGCTGGCCCTGAGGTCCCTGGGCACCTGGACTGTGTGGAATCAAGAAGCAAGATTCTTGGCAGCACAGGGGTGGCAATGCTGCCGCAAGGCCCTTGGATACAGCTCTGGACACTGGAGTTCTGTGTCCTGTGTCGGTCCCCTCCTGTTAGCAGCCCTTCCCTCCCACCCTGCCCTGCCTGGGGGTGGGGCTTCCCTGTGTTGCCTAGCAACAGTGACCTCCACTGTGGGCCAGCCCCATCCCCAGCTCATACAGGTCTTCAGCTTCCAGCCAAGTTTTGAGAACTAGAGGTTTGGTGACAGCTAAGTCTTCTGAAAAATTGCAGGTTTTACTGCATGGGACCATTGTTGCATAGTATTTTTAAGTCACTACTAAGTTCATTCATTCTACAAACCTGTTTGGGTCAGAAGAAAGAATGAGGACAGGAAATCAGTATACACATTCCCTGGCTAAAGGGATCATTTGGGGGGGGGGGGGGGGGGGGGATGTTCTTCACTGTAATCCCAGCCCACCAAATAGTTGGCTGGAAAGCAGTGATTGATCAATAAATGCTTTCTGAGTGAATGTATTCATTTGTCCACTCCTTGGGCCTGTGTCCGCCTGCTTGTGACAGCTCAGCAAGGGAGGAAAGCCAGTCGTCCAGGCTGGCTTGTGTGCTGACTGCTAATACTGTCAGAGTTAGATTGAATTCTAGGGCTCTTGGGTGGTGCCTGAGACTTGTGATTGGCATGTATGCCTGCCAAGGGAAGCGAAGAAACTATTGAGAGACATAAATCACAAAAGCCTTCAAAGTCACAGGCAGGACTCCGGGCCTACAAGCTACCAGTGTGGTACGTCACGCACTGACCACAGGTCAAACTCTCAGGTCTAGCTGTTGGTTATTCACCTCTGATCCACCTTCAATCACGTAGTTACCAAGAATGAGGCAAAAAATCCTGCTGGAACTCATGAATTTCTTTTTTTTTTTTTTGTCAGTCATGCGGCCTGGATTCTGGGCCTAGGTGCTGTCCCTCAGCTCTTCAGCTCAAGGCTAGCGCCCTACCACTTGCCACAGCACTTCTTCCTGCTTTTTTCTACTTAGGTGGTGCTGAGGACTCGAACCCAGGGCCTCACGCATGCGCAAGGCAAGCGCTCTATCACTGAGCCAACTTCCCAGCCCCCAGATTCATGAATTTCCTAAGAATAAGACAGGGTGCACAGACAGGTCTGGTCTGCCATCATCAGCTGCACGTGCAAGTTTGTACGATTTTTTTTTTTTTTGATCCGGTCGTGGGGTCTGAACTCTGGGCCTGGGCGCTGTCCCTCAGCTCTTGAGCCACAACAACCACTTCTGGCTTTTTTCTTTTTGCTTATGTGGTGCTGAGGAATCGAACCCAGGGCCTCAGGCATGCAAGGCAAGCACTCTACCACTGAGCCACCTTCCCAGCCCCATGTACAATTTAAAGGTAAGAAAAATAAGATTTTTTTTTTTTTGTCCATCATGGGGCTTGAACTCAGGGCCTGGGTGCTGTCCTTGCACTTTTTTCTCAAGGCTAGCACTGCACTACTTTTAGCCACAGATCCACTTCCAGTTTTTGAGTAGTTAATTGGAGATAAAACTCTCACGGGGACTTTTCTGCCCAAGATGGCTTCAAACTGTGAGGCTCAGATCTCAGCCTCCTGAGTGGTTAAGATTGCAGATGTGACACGCACACAGGGGTGCCCATCATGATGAAAAAGTTCAGTGCAGGTCCTGAGACAAATTCAGGGTCTGGGCACTGTCCCTGAGCTTTCTCTATATCGGCTAGCACGCTGCCACTTAAGCCGCAACTCTGCTTCTGTTGGCTATCTAGGTGGTTAATTGGAGAGGGAGAGTCTCGCAGACTTTCCTCAGGACTGGCTTTGAATCAATCCTCATAGCTCAGTCTTCTGAGTAGCTAAGATTATAGGCATGAGCTGATAGCAACTGGCAAATTTTTTTGTTTGCTTTGTTGTTGGTCATGGGGCTCCAACTCTGGGCCTGGGCGCTGTCCTTGAACTCTTCAGCTCAAGGCTAGCACTCTACCACTTGAGCCACAGCACCACTTCTGGTTTTCAAGTAGTTAATTGGAGATAAAAGTCTCATGACTTTCCTGCCCAGGCTGGCTTTGAACTGCCATCCTTAGATCTCAGCCTCCTGAGTAGCTAGGATTACAGGCGTGAGCCACCAGCGCCAGCTGCCAGGTTTAATTTCTTATGTGACCTCAGAAAGCACAGCTCACCTCTTTAGACATTTCATTGACAGCAAAGGACGGTTGAGGTGATTGGAGCCCAGTGTCAGACAGAGCATCACACGAGGCTCGGTGAACTAAGGAAGATGATGACGCTACACACAGCTCCATGCTGGCCCATTTTCATAAAGTCACACTCAGGGCTTAGGCCTCCCAGCTTTTCCACACTGAATCTGTGTTTTAACCTCTGAGATGCTTTCAAAATACTGACTTCCAAGATGAACATCAATGTAATCCTAGCTATTCAGGGGATTTAAAAGTCCTTATGACTGCAAAATAACCAGCAAAAAGAATCAAACTAGAGTCATGATTCAAATGGCAGAATGCTAGCTGAGCAAGCAGACTAGTTGACTGAACTTGAGGACACTAGAGTTCAAATCCCGGTGGGTGGGAGGACTTTCAGATTCATTGTCAGCTACATTCCTCGTACTTCATGTCTGAAGTACGACTGAAGACAAGTTTATTCCAAAAATGGTCCAATGCCCCTTCTGCTTTGGCACAGCCGAGCTCAAAGGAAAGCAGCCTGAGCATGAGCTTAGCGTGTTTATATAACACATCGGCCCAACTTAAATATTTCTCACAGTGCTGTCGGGGCTGCAAACCTTTGCCCAGCACATCTACGTGAATGTCACGTGCTTGCTCAGCGCTGGGTGGGTATCTGTTTATGCAAAAGGCTCCAGCGAGCATGGAGCCAGTTAATATCTTCAGCTGTGCATCATTGCTTACGTAGGTTACAGTGAAGCTCCGGAAGAGACGGACGCTTTCTCAAAGCCATCAGGAGAGTTACCCTGTATGCTCAGGAGATCCAGTTAATGAATGTGCACTTGGCAGGGTCTTACAATTAAGGGCTGTTTTTTGCTTGCTCAGATAA